ACCATGGGGAGTAGGAATAAGGTGGATAAAGGTGAAGAGATGGTCACACGACGCTGCAGCTCTGTACCTGCGCTTCCTAACAAGTAACGTGAGATTTTTCACACCCTGTTAGGAATACAACAACTCAACTGGGTCATGCAACGTTTTTTGCTGCGTGGAGTCATTCATGTTTTATGAAGGGTATAATATTGATTCTGGATCCAGCACGGTCAACACCCGAGTGAAAAAATAAATCAGTCTCCTTGGCTGTGTTGACTTTTATTCTGAGGCAATACTTTGAGCAAACACCAACAAACATAAATATTTGTTTAAAAGCAAGATTCACAAAGATTCCACTTTGAGCACAAAAGACGTGCTTCAGCCATTTGTGTCCTTTCTGTGCTTTGGCTTTGTCCAACTTCTGAAATCAGGACATATCTGTCCTGATTCAAGATCCATTTTGCTCTGGATGTGTTGGCAGAAGTGGCAACAGAGCACCGCTCTGAGCACTGAAGATTAGTGCACGCACATTCAGAGGTATTAAATCTCAAATTTAATCACTTTCGCTCTTAATGGCTTTAAAGAAAAGCATTCCATGTTTTCATTCTCAGTAGAAAATTGCATTCAGAGACAAACAATAAAAATGCATGGTTGGTTTAATGATGTGTTTTCAAATTTTTATATTTCTATAAATTCCACACTTCTGAATGAAAACCAAATGCTCATGCAGAGCTGAAAAACTGAAGGACATCTAATGACTCATAACCTAATTCATTAAAATACACCTAGTTTATATTGTATCATTTAAAATAGTTCACTGTCACCAACTCAGAGCTCGTATTTCCCACTGAAATTAGTGAGGACTTTAAAGAATACTTGAACTCGAAGCAGTAACGAGCCCCTCCGTTGGTTTAACTTCATGCAAATATCTGTTACCTTATAGGTCAGTTCAGTGTTTTATGTAATTTATTCTAGTTATGTTGTAATGTGTAATAATAGATAATAATTTTGCTGTAAAAATGATGCTTTATTGGATATATTTTCCTGTTCCACCCATCAACGCTGAGTTATTACAGATTAGTAAACAAGGTGGATTTTTCTACAAATTTAAACCTAAAATTTTACAAAAAGTTTTCTGTAAGAGGAGAGTAAGTGATGAAATCAAAGATGTTTGAGTGGGAGAATGTCACTTTAGGTACACAAACATTGCAAAGACCGAACATATTATTGATTTAATTTAACATATTGATTTAATATACCTTTAATGATTTAAAATCATGCATGGGCTGCAGAGCAAACACAACAATTCTTAACTTGTATTTTCATCTTTCATCATAGGATGGATGGATGGATGGATGGATGGATGAATGGATGGATGGATGGATGGATGGACGGACGGACGGACGGACGGACGGACGGACGGACGGACGGACGGACGGACGGACGGACGGACGGATGGATGGACGGACGGATGAGGTCACCACAGTTTAGTATCTGAAGCATCAAAGCTCTTCTATTTATTGTTGAGTCTAAATTCATCAAAGATTTGTTCAACACTCACTGGATAAATTATTGTTTTATTAAGGTGGATGAAAAATATAAATTGATCAAAATAAATTAATAATGCACATCAGGCATCAGTTGCCTTGATTTGTAAAGAGTTGCAACAACTATTGATAAATTAATATTGGTCGACTGCTAGAATAAGTCATGTTTTGATATTTGTTCAGGTATTGCAACAATAATCATTACATTTTATAAATTGTAAACGTTTTTAAGTCTCCAAAACCAAACACTTTGCTGTGAATATTTTTACAACTTATCTGACAATAAATACAACTTGAATTAAATTTTATGTTTTGTTCTACTAAAAAATAATAAATAAATAAATGATTGTATAAACAAATAAATGAATAAATAAATGACTGTATAAATAAATAAATAAATAAATAATTATGAATGAATGAATGATCTGTCAACTGACCTTATTAAAAATCAATATTTTGCTCCATTAGCTCACCAGAACAGTTAAACTGGTCAACCAGGCTGTTATTTTGGTAAATAAAATAAAATAAAATAAAATAGTTCATAGAGTTCTTTCAGTGATTTTACCGTTTGCCAAAAATAAATAAATTTAATAAAAGCCAGAAAAGCGCATGAGTTCTCTCCTTCTGTCTGGTCGCTTGACTCTGACTAAATGACCTCTCCTGACCACCGTCCAACACCTGTGGTCCACCTTTAAAAGGGCGGAGCATCTCTCCGAGGTGAACACGTGCGCACGCCGCTCTCTCCGAGCGTGCTCAGGCTTCGGTGCTCGTCTGTGTCGAACTCTGTAGAACAGAGCAAATTAGAATGAAATATTGAGTTCATTTATGAATAAGTGGGGCTGAACGGCCCCTTGTCGGAGCTCCTGCGTGCATGTTGAGAGGATGGAAACCTTTGGACGGGTCATTTCTCTCAGATGCTTCATTAAATAGTGAAAGTCAAAAGTGCAGCACCTCCTACTAAAGGATAAAAAAGACATACTAAGATCTATAGACGTGGAACAGAGGCTGCTCTTCTCTTTCCTGGCTCATAATGGATATGATGCAAAGATTAGCATCAAAAATATATTTACAAAAAAATATGTTTGAATTTTAAACCATAGCTAAAATGTTCCATGCAGTCCAAACTAAAGGTTTGCTTGAGTTCTTCAGAAAGCTTGAGAAGAGGCAGGTAAGAAGTCGATTCTTCCTTCAATCAACTGAAACCTAAACTGTGTTTTGCCTTGTGAGAGCTTAAATGTTAGCAGGTGGCTGTGCAAACTGGAGCCAACCAGCAGCAGCTTTTTGAGCCGTTTCTTAAAGAAACAAGACGCCTCGGAGGCACTCCGTGGTGAGTGCACGAGTGTGAGGGGTCACGGAGTGTAAGTGGTGCAGGGCAGAAGAAATCAAAGCTCAGGAGGGAATCCATTGAAACAAAACGCAGTTTTCCTGCAGTCCAGAGCAAAGTCTGCAGAAACAGTTTCATTTGTTGGCACGCACGTTTGAAGAGCAAGCACGATGAGTCGTGCACTAACGAGGCGGTGGGGGTGTACACGTGGGTCTGAGGCATTGATGTCCAAAGCATTTGTAATGGGGGCTACACACTGGTGTGTGTGTGTGTGTGTGTGTGTGTGAGTCTGGGGTCCTCCCCCAGAAAATGTTGAATAAATTAGATGTCATTTCCTGCATCCTGGATTATTTTAACGGGTTGTTAAAAATCTACGTTTACCTACATAAGTAAACACTTGATTCAATGACTATTTTAGTGCAACAAGAAGTAGCCTGACCAACAGCTCTCCTTGTGTGAATAGACCCACCTCCCCACCCACACACACACACACACACACACTGAAAACTGCTGGAACTAACGTAGCACTAAGTGGCGCACAATACAGACGCATTAGCTAAGATGCTACAGATGTAGCATTGCACTTCTCTCACACAACCTAACACCCCCCCCCCCCCCCCCCACACACACACACACACACACCCATCAACAACTGCCAGCACCAACATGGCACGAAGCTAGCAAGCAAAACAAAGGTGTCTCCCCCTCCTCCCCCATGAGCATCCTGCCAAGGCAGGTGACCGAGGAGCAACACTGCACGGAGTTGTTGTAGGCAACCAGGAAAACCTGGAGTGGACTTTTAGTGGTTTGAGTATTCTCCTATTAATCAAGTGGGATGGATTTATTCATGAAGAAATAAAAACAGTGATGGGTGAACTAATATTTTATGATAAATGTGTGTGTGGGGGAGTGTCTGAATGATTTTTTTTATGTGTGTGTGTGGGGGGGGGGGGCATGTCCCCTTCACATATAACTGTGTCGTATATGGACTGAGGACTGAGCCTTTAGTCACTCATATGTACAGAGTGTCTTTGGAGCAAAGTAAAGCCCACGTAAAGTAAAAAAATACATAAATTTGAATTCTGATGGCATTTTGAAAAGGTACAAGAGTAAGTTAGCTCGCCCCCCAGGAGACAAGTTCACCATGATGAATGCTGCTATTAAGAAAATGACTTGTCTCAAATGTCAGACTGTAGCCAATGTTTTTGGTTTAAAAATTGATAGCAAGCTTATGAGACATTTTCCTTTTTACCCTGTCTTTAAGGTTCTTGCCAGCAAAGTGTAATCAACTCTAATTATTTAAACTGCCTGCCATTCTTTGATACCATTGATTTCTTAAAATAATTAGAGCTTTGCATTGCATGTGTTGTAATGGTGATGGCTCGCGCTATAAGAATGACAAACGCCGCATGAAGTCAGGAGCTCTTTCAGAGCACCTGCTTCCAAATATTAGTTTCAAAGCTTCACCCCGTAATGTGAGATGACACGCCAGCTTTGAGCAGGAGAGGAACAGGAAAAAAATGAACTAAAACACGTCAAAACAGTGAAACAACAATTAAAACCCAAGCATGAAAACATCAACATGTGCAAAACGGCTACAAGTTTAGTCAAATCCTAAACATTCCTGGCCGCAGTAAAGGTTTGTCCTGTCAAGCAGAGGAGAACCAATCCTCCATCTCAGGTTTTCAGCATGATCAAATTTGCACTTCAAACCATTGTGCCCATTTAATCAGCCATTATGTATGCCCAGTCAACCACTGCAGAATTTCTAAGCAAAATCTCAGGCTGAGGCGCACAAAGCTATCTTTGATTATACGATAGCCCATGGGGAAACTTTATCAAACTCCTCGGCTTCCCGTGGAGATGGACCAGGTGACTAGCAACTACTCAATCTGAAGGCCAGATTCTTTTCTGAGGCGGCACAGAATCACGCCTTTGATCCAAACAAAGACAGCTGCGCACGCCTCTCCAGAAAGCAGCCCCGCCACTTCCACTTCCTTCCACCAATCAGGGCCTCGTCTCCGGCGCCAAACATAATCCAGCCTACCGCTGCTCTTCCTGCCCAGGGATTTATACCCTTTTTGAAAAGCAAACGGGGGCATGAGCTGCAAACAAATAAGGATGTTGAAATAAAAATGGAGAAGCGCGCCCTACTCACCCATCTCAGTGTCCGATTTATTGTCCATTTCTGTGTCAGTGAGCGTGAGCGCCGAGTTGGAGCGGCTGGAGAGGCATGAATTCTGCCCAGATTTTGCCCCCGTTCCCCAAAGAGCCATGGTGCGTTCCGGTGATACAGGTTCATGGTTTTCTGTGACGGCCGGCCCCCTGGGGTAGCTGCTGAGGGGGTGGGACAGGCCAGTCTCGGGGCACAGAGCCAAGCCCCTGCGAGCCGGTGGCTCACAAATCCCAAGTTGCCTCAAAGAAAACGTCTGTCCTGTGAACGACAGCGAGTCGTAAAGTTAACAAAGCAAGCGACAACGTGCACGGCCACCTCCAAACACAATCAACGAGAAGAAGAGGAGGGGAGGGGCCTCTTTATTCATCCACTTCCTCCAACATAATTACTTATTACCAGCTCAACAGATTTTAGCTCACACTTGACATCTTGTTTATTTATTTTAATTTTTTACTCTATTTAATGCTTATAATTTATTTGACATATTTAATCCTAATATTTGTTTCAGTGGACATTAAAAAAAAAATTTGCTGTAGGATCCATTAATCCTGCTCTTCATTCAGTTCTGAGGGTTTTAACTCTTCACCAGAAAATAAATAATAATCTGTCATGCCTTCAAAAACACGGACATTTTTTTTTTTTTGTCGGCAAACAAAATCACCTTCTGAAACTCTCTGAATTAATGAGGACGTATTTTAATTTTTTTAAATCCCTGTTAATTTCATAGAAAATCTATTCAGATTATTTCTGGTATAACCATGATAAATTATGGGATTTAATTTTATAATTTCTGTATATCTAACTAAGAAGCCAAAACGACACATAATCTGACAGTTTTTGCATCTTTTGATCACACACAACAAAAACAGCTGAAATGCATCAGTTATTTTTTTTAACTAACAATTTGAGCAAATTCTGAAAAATGCAAATGTAAAATTTAAATTCTTTTGATTTTGTAAAAATTAATAATCACGTTGCGTTTACATATTTAAACACACGTGCACACGCTTACAGAGCAAACAGCGTCTAAGTGACACGCACGTGGCCTTTTCCCACCAGCAACATTAAATGTGACATTTACCGTGATGATACAGGAAACAGTCGTTAACGCTAAACGTCTGCGTTTTCAAACAAGAAAACCAGCTTTCATCCCACAACTTCATCACGACGCCATTAATTTTGAAATGGACACCAATTAGCAGCGAGAAAATGTTGGAGAGTAATGGATGGGTTTTCTGATTGCAATCTTATGAGCCCAAGGAGCGCCATAAAATAAGAGTAAACTGCTCAAACTTTTTAATTACGGAATTTAAAGCAGCTTCTAACAGCCAATTAAAAAGGAGAGTTACTTATTGAGCATTTATTTTTTTTAGTTTTTTTAACTTATACCAGTAGGAATATTTTATTGGTTCAAAACAGCCCACTGTATCACACCCCAAATTACTTTTCTTTAAAAGTTTAGAAAAATAATAACACTTGATTGTGCCTTTGTGACATGCTATAATTGTATTTACCACTGCCTTGCATACTGGTGGTCTATTATTTTATTTTATTTTTATCAAGCATCCACAGATAGAGCATATAAAATTGTGAGAGGGTTGTTTTGTGGTACACAAACAACCAAATCCCTACATCCCATATTCATACTACTAATTAAGTCTCACCCTGGAAGGGAACAGCAATAAACCGAAATATGAGAATTTTGTTATTTGTGGTGTTTCTGAAGTCTCTCAGACAAAAATCCTAAATGCATTGCGACTGTTTCTTTTTTAATTGAGGTCACGGAGACTAAAGGACCACTGTGGTCTGTGGCCACCATCTGAACATTGTAGAATAATATTTTCCACATAATTTACACATGCATGTACAATCACGCTCTGGCGTCCTGCTGACCTGGCCTGGCGTACTCTGCTGCCTCCTTGTGCACCATCTCCTTGACTCTGCCTCCAAACAGCATCCGGGAGGGGTCATGGTCGAAGGCCTGCAGGGTCTCGCTGGAACTGTAGGATTTCTGAGTGGGAACTCGGCAGGCTCCGTCGTCCCGGTCCGTGGTGGAGGCGGTGTAACGCCGCTCCCGATCGTGGTCTCGCTCACAGTCTCTTTCCCGCTCTCTCTGGCTCTTGGACAGCGAGCAGAAAGGCCGCTGCTCCCTCACCCTTTCCATGCTGCCTGCATGCTGGGTATCCAACTCCCTCCCCTTCACCACCGACCCTCTCCTGAGGCGCTCACTGCTGGATTATTTCACTCTTTTCCAGCCCCCTTCTGTCTCTCTGGACTGTGATTCTCGTCCGGTGAATGATGTCCTCCTTAAATCCCTCCTCCCCCACTTCTGAACCTCGATCGGTCACTTCTTCAGACGTCCAACGGCTCCACCTGGAAAAAAAAAAGACAAGGAATGGAAGCAAGGAGCTCAGATAACACTAATCCATCAGCTCCATCTTCAAAAGCACACACTTATCTCGCTCTCATTGGCCCAGAACGCCTCTGGAAGTTCAACCATGAAGTCTTAAAGAGAAGACTTCTCCTCGGTTCCCGTCTCAGTTTTTAAAACTTTCCATTTTAAAAAATATTCTTCAAAACCCCAAATGTTCTACATTGAGGCCACTTTTATAGCAAACAGCTGTCAAGTGATCATAATTCAAAACTAGAGAAGTACATTTCCTGCTAAAATGCGGTGTGAATACTTATTGCTGAAGAGCCTGCTGAAAAACAGCTGAAATTAGCTAAAAAAAACATGCTGAATTGTAGCCGAAATAGAAGAACCAGCCTTAGGTAGCATAAGAAAGTAGAAAGGACACATATTTGCTGAATTAGGTTTAAAGAAGTGGAAATTAGCATAAAAAAATAGGTATTTGGTTGAAAAAGCTGAAATTAGCAACAACAACAACAACAACAAAAAAAAAAACAGCTGAAAGGACAGAAAGAAGCTTAAACTATCATAAAAAGCAAAAGGAGCTGAAATTAGCTGAAAAAATGTGGCATTAGCTAAAAAGGCAAAATTAGCATTAAAAACAGCTAATAGCTGAAACAGCAGAAATAGCTGAATGGAGCAGAAAAAAAGCTGAAAGGAGCATAACAAGCTGAAATTAGCAGAAATAAGTTAATTAGGCTGAAAGAATAACAAAAATTACAACAAAAAAAATTGAATTAATCTGAAAACAGCTGAAATTACCAACAAAAAAAGCGTAAAAATTAGAACAAGCTTAAATTCGCAAAATAAACCAGAAAGAAAACATTTTCGTCCATTTAGGCTGAAAGAAGCTTAAATTTCCAGAAGCAAGTGGAGAAAGAACATTTCTGTTGAAACGGGCTGAAAAAAGTTTAAATGAGTGCGGAGCATAACAAGCTGAAATTAGCAGAAAGACATTAGAAGAAGCAAAACATATGTTGCAGTTAGCATAAAGAATCTGAAAGGAGCACAAAACAGCTAAAAAAACAGCTGAAAGTGGCTGATTTTTTTTATTTGCTGAAGGAAGCTGAAAGAAGCTGAAGCAGAACAAAATGTGAAAGGAGCAGTAAAAGGTTGTGAACAGATCTAAAGATCTGAAGGATGTAAAATGAGATCAATTCATTTTCTATGAGAGAAAAAATGTCAGAAAAGGCTAAAATATTTAAAAAAAAGCTAAAGTTGCACCAACACCAAGTTATAGCAGGATTGTCCTGAAAGAGCCGAACGTTTTATGATTTGTTGAAATAACAAAAACTGTGGAACCAGAAGGATGGTGGAAAATGAACGGAATAGTTTAAGGTAGCTGGAAGAAGAATGCGTAATAATAATAATAATAAATATAAACAGGATCACAATAGTTATTAATGGTTCATATAATGAAGTGCAAGAGAAATGCTCTCACTTGACTCGTTTTAAGGAGAGCTGAGTGGAGTCAGTCTGAACACACAAAGGAGCAGCGTCAACACGGATGACGACAAACACTCGTTAAAAATTAATAGGCGGCTTGATTTATTTTTAGTTTACCAGGCTGTGACAGATAAGTGAAAAATATAGGGATGTTCTGTTCTAAATTATTCAATCGTTTTGCTTATAGTGCTGAATATATGTGCACATGTTGTGGCTCTGCGCCTCAGCACACTTGCGCTGCAGGTAAATAGAAGTTAGGTGAGGTGAAGACAATGAAAAGTCACGACAGAAATGTGTCCCCAGAAAACTGCGTCCGTTCCGCACAATAATGTGGAGCGGCAGCTTCAGCAGAACTGTTGATGCAGCCGTGACGGAAATGACTCCGCAGACGAGCCGAGAGGTGAGCTTCAGCTCTTTCACAGCTCAACACCAAGGCAGGCAGGAGAGGCCCTGGTGCCACAATGACACAAACATCTTTAAATCTAAAATGTTTGAATAGAAAAAATAAGACAGTTTAATATAAATTAATATCAAAACTGCTGATGGGTCATGTTCTTTCACATTTTGTTCTGCTTCAGCTTCTTTGTGCAAACAAACTTTTTTCAGCTAATTTCAGCTGTTTTGTGCACCTTTCAGATTCTTTCTACTAGCTAAAACCTTTTTGTGCATCTAACTTCTTTCTGCTCATTTCAGCTTGTTATACTCCTTTCAACTTATTTCAGCATAGTTTCAGCTTTTACTGCTATTTAATTTAGCTGTTTTATACTAATTTTAGCCTTTTCAGCTAATTACACATTTATTGCACTCATTTAAACTTTTTTCAGCCTAATTCAACAATAATGTGCTCTCTCTATTTCTCTTATAATTTAAATTTCATTCTGCTTTTAGCTACTTTTCAGCTGTTCTTTGTTGTTGTTGGAAATTTCAGCTTTTCTCAGACAATTTTCACTTTTTTATGCTTATTTCTTCTTCTTTCATCCAAATTGAACAAACGTTCTATGTTCTTCTAACTTAAGCTTGTTCTAACTTTTCAGCTAACTTTTTTAGTATGTTTTTGCTAATTTCAGCTGAGTTCAGATAAATTCAAGTTTTTCATTGTAATTTCTTCGAAGTTCAGCCTAATTAACTTGTTTCTGCTAATTTCAGCTCGCTATGCTCAATTCAGCCTAGGTCAGCTAGTTTCAGCTTTCTCTACTTTTTAGCTGTTTTTCATTGTTACAGCTTTTCAGCTATTTCCATACTTTTAGCTCATTTCAGCGCTACCAATTTCCTTCTTGTAGTTAAATTTATTTCTGCATTTTCAGCTACTTTTCAGCTTTTTTTTTTTTATTATTGCCATTTTCAGCTTTTTAGCTAATATCCTAAATGTTGTGTCCATTTCTGCTTATTTAAACATAAATCAGTAAATATGTGTTATTTCTGCTCTCTTCTGCTAAATTCGGCTTATTCTTCTATTTCAACTACAATTCAGCATGTTTGTTTTTTTTAATTAATTTCAACCGTTTTCTTCAGCAATAAACATTCACACTGCATTTTGTCACAAAATGTAATTTCTTTAGTTTGTGCTACTTTTCCTTCCTCTATCGAGGTATTTGCATCATTTTATTAAATTTCATTCATATTCAAGAGTTATATCATGTAATTTTCATCATGTGAATTTATCCACTGAAGCGTCGTTTTTTATTTTGTCAAACTATCCTGAGCGCTGCACGGCAGCAACAAGGTAACCTTGTACCACATCTTTTACAGAAGTTAAGTGGAAAACAGTTAAGTGTGCAAATCTGTTTACATTTGTTTTGAGCATTTCCTAAGGCCTTTATTTGACGGATGAAACACACGTTGAGATCAAGAAGTTGTTTCGGCGTGATCATCCCGGCCTTAGGCATAAACATTTTGCAGCTGGATGCTCACAAGTATCCGATATATCAGTGTCTAAACTGAGTGTTAAAATTCAAAGCTGACGTTCTCATTGCGCTATGAGAAGGGGACCAGGAGGATAAGAATGTGACCAATTCTTCCCCCCAAAAGAAAAAAGAAACGACTGGAATGTGGAGAGGAGCCGTGGTGTGTCAGAAGTGTTTATTACCAACCATTTTCCACCGCCTCCTGACACACTCACACACGACGCACCAAAATTTCATTTCTCTCTTGGCTGAGCTGTAAGACTGGAGTATCAGACTCCTTCTTTGTCCCAAATGAGATCTACTTTGTTTCACATCAAGCATCAAAACATTTCAATGAAGCTGAGATAGTGTACCGTCACACTGCAAGATAGCACTAACCCCAGAGACTCCAGAACCTGAAGCAGTCACCGGTGCAGTACAGGATGCAGGGATAATGAAAATTGTAAGCTCTTCCACACCTATTAAACTTACCCCCCCACCTTTCAACGTTGCTTGATATGATTCTGTTTCCCTGAAGGGCTTAGATGCAATCAGTGACACACTCTCTTGTAACCCTGGCTCTCAAGTCTCAGCACTGCACCCCACACAGGCTTGTTTCTTCGATGCCACAAGCCGTCTCAATCCCACCTCATCACTTTTAGAAAATTGTACACACCTGTCCAGCCTGGCAGATTAATGCAGAGGATGAGTGCAAACGGACACGCCCAGAAGCATCCCTGATTACGATCCTCCTCTGCTCTATAGACTTGTAAAGAGATTCACCATCTGAGAAAGGCCTAATGCCACAAGTCTCACCCTCTAAGCTGCAGTCTGCACTATAGCAGGATTTAGATTTGCGTCCTAATCAGCCATAAGCCCTTGAGTGACCAAGCATGTCTCTGTATAAACATCCTTGTAGAACGCTGAGGATGCCATCTATTCCTCCAAGTGTCTTGCCTATATGTGCTGCAAGATACATGAGGAACATTCACTGAGGTCTAAATTATGTACAAAAAGTTGCAAAGCCTCTTCTGCTGCGTGCACTTCTGCAGATTTTATCTTTCGGGGGTTTAAACTGCAGTAAAGGTTAGACTACATTCAGCAGAGTAAAGGCCAGCCTGAAACGCCTTCATTATGCAAAATCTACAACTAGTACACCGACCTGTCCAAACGGGCCAGAAAAAAAAAGATGTGCCTGCTTAGTTCTGAACAAAATTGCCAGAATCAGCCATGAGATGTGGCTGGTCCCTGTTCTGTTTCTGCTCACTTCTAGGATTTCTTTTGCCTTTGATCATGGAGCTGAATCAGGACAATCGCTCACCCGTGACCACTCAGCGGTGCAGCCGACAATCCAAAATTAGTGTCACCCGGCGGTCCTCTTCTGAGCCAGTGAGGCAGGGAAGAAGACGATTCATGACCTATGCAATGCAGCTTCGCACATTTCTCAACAACTCCCATGCTGGTTGAGCACTGTCCCCCTGACGCCCGGTGCCGTCCAGAACCTCTGCGCTTCTTTGAAGCACAAACCATAAACCATGGTGTGAAGAAACGTCTCCAAGTGGTTTGGCTCTTCATGGCAGTTGGAAAGGTTTCAAGGGTCCA